TATATAGATATAGATATATAGATATAGATATATATAGGTATAGGTATAAATATAGATACAGATGTATATATATATAGATTTAGATGTATATAAATATACGTATTCATATACATATACATATGCATATACATATACATATACATATACATATATAATACATATATATACACACACACACACATATATATATATATATATCTATATCTATATATATATAGCTCAATTTGTGGTACCCAGGTCAAACGTGTGATATCATGGGTCTAATACGTGATACCAATGTCCGGTTCGCTTCGCAGGTACTGTGCCATGCAGTTGTTCACAGCCTCCTCTATCCGCAGCACATCAAAACAGAACTCGCCAACACCCGCACCCTCTACACCTAAACTCTCGGCCTCAGGCTGTGAAAACACGGGCACTCGCATAACTACATCAACCTCTGTATGCACCTCCTCGTGTGTCAGCATGTCCACTATCTGTACCTGCTCCTGTATCGTGGTGGTCTGTATCTGCACGTTGCTAGTAGTAGTAGAGATAGTCATCACAGGGTCCCTGGCTCCACCACCCACCGCATCGCCCACCCGGCCATTGGCGAGTGTACCTGACTGGCTACTACTTGGCCCTATTGCGAGGCCCAGCATGCGCCGTAGGTCGTTGTCTACATCCGAAGTACCCGTGGGTACTGTGGGTGGGTTGGCTTGACCGCTTCGCGCGCCTTTGGTCCGGGCGGCAGCGAAGAGAGCTTTGTGTTTCTTCAGCCATTGCCGCAGCGATCTGGCATGGAAAAGTGACAGTGTCTATTGATTAAGCCAGGGTTGTGATAGGAAAGGAGGCGGAGAAAACGGTGGGCAAACGAATAGCAGTGTATTGCGCTTGATTGATGTCTGGACACCAACGGCTCACACCTCAAGCCACTTAAGGCATATACATAGTCATATACTACTCAATATAGGCTCAATACATTTGCATACAACAAGGAGAAAAGGGGAATTCCTCACACTCTATTTTAGGAGGAAAACCTTGGCAAAGGAATGATTCAGGGACGTGAGGCAAAGTGCATTGCATAGCTCTAGCGAAACAATTGAAGTACACACACCTAGTGAAGGGTATCACCATGAAGAACTGGTTGCGCTTATCTACTGAGGCCTCACGACTGGATGGTAGGTCAGATATCTTCATCCATTCCACTTTCTGTGACGTGATATGTGCGGCGTTAGCATACAATACAGTATCATAACATCTGACAGCCCGGCATGGCTACAACAAGATTTGAGTCTACTTCAATCTCGGAACAAGCTTGTCCAATGCAGCCCCTTTGGAAACATATTTACACTATATTTGTGCATCGGTGCTCTGTTTTCAACGGCAATTTGCGCGAGAGCGGCATGGGATTAACAGCACACTCGGCCCACACGATTCTATCGACCTTCTGAATATCGGCGTTGCGCCAACCACAGCCCTCTAACACATGATCTGCATCAGATACGGCTCGTGATTTAATGTACATGATAGGCCATGTTGTGTCACTTACACTGATTTCCTTCCTGGTTCTGGGACAGAAATATGTATCCTCGGGTACATCTCTAATTATGAACAAGGTGATGTCGTGTCCGTGCATGTTCACCGTGATGAAATGTTCTGGATTTGCCCTGGCTGTGAAGTCATAGCCAGTTTCTTCATACACCTGGTGTGGTAGGTAAGAAGGTACAAGTTCATAATTCGCATTGAAGTGCTCACATCTGATGAGCGAAGAGCAGTACGCATAGCGTTCCATCCAGTCCAGGCAACAAGTACCATCACCGGTACCAATCAAAATCGAAGAATGATAAAAAACCGAGCACCTGTCTTGAGCGAGGTTGGCGGACACTCTTTTCAACGATGGCCCTTCGCTATCGCGTTAATGTGATTTGACCAAACAGTTGTACTTGATATAACCTGGAAACACACAAAAAAATGTGGCTCCAATTTGTTGTTGTTGAAATTCGTGTGTGCCTCACCTCTCGAATTGCGCAATCGATCCCTTGTTCATCTTTGTTAACTTTGCCTTTCGGAAAGCCCCAAGTGGACCGCTGCGTCCAACCCTTGACCAGTACAGCCTGTAGGTGTATTCATGTGCGAGAATGCATGTGCATGTATTAGCAGAAAAGCGTGTATAAGGCTAAGACTTTGTCTGCGTGCAAGCTTGCAAGCAGGGCTGTGCTACAGATAAGCTGCGTACTACGGAGAGTCCATCTGTCTATTCGCATCAAAATCCTATCCGCGTTTGTGTGCGTTTGTGTGTACGAATAATATATAGATTCAGGTATACAACGATACAACCATGTGTAGATGCGCACGTATCGATACATATATACATACACACACACATAAATATATATATAAATATATATATATAA